CCGGAGATCAAACGGCACATGAAGTCTCCAAAAGTCCACTGGCCGACCCTGGCATTGTGAGAGTAGAAAGGCAACGTGAAGTGAAGTCAGAGAGAGCCAGGTTGAAGAGGCAGATGTCTGTCAGGTTGCACTGATTGCGGTGCTTCACCAGGACACACAACTAGTCCATTGCCTTTGTGAGAAAAGATATATAATAAGTGTACCTGTCACACTGTTACATATTCTTTCTGTAACAGTCTCTTTCTCTCTGCTGTTCACATGTTGTTATTTTGCAATTTATTAATTTTAGTTAGTATTGAAAACATTACACTAAAGAACATTACAAACAAACAAACAGTCTGGAGTTTACATTACTTTTTTTCACCTTTTATCACATGCAGATTTCTGAGTATGTTGTAAGGTGCAACTTAAACAAGCTTTCCACTTCCCCCATTGTCTATCATATTTACATCCCATCAGTCTAATATTGTATGTAATTAGTTACATCTCTGAGATGCCTTCTACAATCCTAATCCAATCTTGTTGAGTGGGAGGGTCTGGTTGTAGCCAGTTCTTTATGATTGCTTTCTTTGTTGCGGCTAGAATTATTTTTACTAGATACATTTCCTCCTTCTTTACCAGATCCTTTATGTTTCCAAGGAACATCATTTGGCAGGTGTTTGGGAGTGCATAACCAAGAATATTATCCATGTTCATTTTGAGATCTTCGCAGTACTTTTTTATTTTTATGCACTTCCAAAATACGTGTGAATGATCAGCTTCCGTTTCTCCATATGACCCCCAACAGTTCTGTGGACTTGAGATCTGTTTGCTTTTAATTTGGGGTGTTATGAAAAAACGGGTCAGATTTTTCCAGCAAAATTCCCTCCACAACGGTGAATTCGTTGAACTGTGTTGTGCTTCACTCATACTGAGCCATTCTTTCTCTGTTATATTTATGGTCAGTTCAGTTTCCCATTTCTTTTTAAGGTAACAGGTTGTATCCTGTCTAGCTTCTTCTAATGATCTGTAAAAGGTGGAAATTGCTTTGAATTGTTTTTGCTCATAGCAATTGTTCACTAGTCTGATTATACTCAATGGTTTTTTAAACCAGTTGGTCTTTATTTGTTTTGTGCCATAATCCCTTACTTGCAGGTATCTAAAAAAGTCTCTATTTTCCAATTTGTATTTATTTTTTAGTTGTTGGAAACTCATTAGTGTTCCATTTTTCATTAGTGTACAAACTGCTGTAATCCCTTTTAATTTCCATTGCTTAAACGTTTGGTCCCATTGTCCCGGTTTAAATTTTTTAATCTTGTCTGAATCATTTCAGTAAAAATAATTTTTCCTTTAACTGGCATTTTTCTATTACTGTGTGCCATATTTCTAATGTAAATTTCACAATTTGGTTCATTCTACTTCTATAAGAGGTCATTAGTTGTTTGTAAGAGATAAAAATTTGTATTTTGTTTCCCTCGATTTTCTCGCTCAATTTCCTTAGCCTCATAATCTGGTCTAAATTGAGCTGCATAAAAGTATTCCCTTAGATTGGGGAAAGCCATCCCTCCCTTACACTTCGGGAGTTGCAGTGTTGTTGTCCTTGTTCTTGGCTTTTTCCCATCCCTTAAAAACCGTGTGACCATTTTTTCCCATATTTTATATTTACTTTGAGGTATAGGAAGTGGGAGTGATTGGTACAAGTACAGCAATCTTGGGAGAATGGTTATCTTTATTATTTGGATTCTAGAGTAGAAATTTGTAGGTATTGTTGACCACAGTCCTAATTCTTTTTTTATGTTACCTTCCACCTGATTGCAGTTTGTCTCAAACATAGCGGATATTGATTTTGTCAAGGTTAAGCCCAAATATTTCATTTGGCCCCAGTTTGCGAGATCTTCGACGCACACCTCCGGCAGATCTTCAACAGTAGGAGAAGGATCAGAAGGAGACTGGGGACATTGAGTCGGGATGGACCATGTTCAGCATGTCCATTGCGGCCACTGCACTGAGCAGTGGCCGCAAGGTGGTTGGTGTCTGTTGGTAACCCCCGAACCAAATGGTGGACACCAGAGGTGAGGGAAGCCACCAAGCTGAAGAAGGATTCCTATTGGGCTTGGTTAGCCTGTGGGACTTCGGAGGCAGCTGATAGGTACCGACAGGCCAGGCGAAACGCGTCACGGGCAGTGGCTGGAGCAAAAACTCGGGTGTGGGGGGAGTTTGGAGAGGCCATGGAAAGACTTTCGCACTGCCTCGAAGAGATTCTGGCAAACCGCCGGGTGACTCAGGAGGGGAAAGCGGTGTGCTACCTGCACTGTGTATAGTGCGGGTGGAGCAATGCTGACTTCCACTGAGAAAATGGTTGGGCGGTGGAAGGAATACTTTGAGGACCTTCTTAATCCCACTGGCATAGTCTCCATAATCAAAATCACTATAATTGCGGTAATAGTCTTCTGAGTCATAATATCCTGCTGAGAGAGAGAGAGAGAGGAAGAGTGTTTATTATTTAGGTCTTTGTTATTTATTTATTGCTTATCATTTTATTTTTCATTACAGGCAGTGAAAATGAATACTACATCAAAACAGCTATTGTGTATTAGTGTAGACCCATGATCCTGGTGGAGCTGAGTAGAAATTTAGGCTACAGTTAATAACATGTCTTCACCCATTTTTATTGTAACAGAAGAAGAAAGTGCAAGTTGAAGTAGCCCGTTTAAAAGCTATTGTTGCTGATATGTTGTTGTTTTTAAAGGTCTTTTTCCTTTGCTATCAAACAAAAAAATATACTCAATTCAACTCTGCTGTTTTGGCTCCCAGCTAGCTGATAATGCTAACTTTTTTCCAACCTTTTGGCAGTCACAGGTGTAGTACTCCCTCCTCGGGAAAGGTTGTCACTTCAATTCACATCAGTTCATAATAAAAATATTTAAACCCAGGGCTGTGCTGGGTCCAGGGGAGACTCTGCCGGCCCCGCAATGGCCGCTCTGTCACCAAGCTTGGGTTTGCTGTTTTTTATTAAAGGATGGTAGCTACAGCTCACTGTTTGTCTGCAGTTTTACTAAATGAAAACTTCCACAACAAGAACTTTGGAGTTGAAAGGAGCATTAAGTCAAAGCAATTTGCCGCACCAGTCTTTGGTGGTTCAGTCCACCTTGGTAATGGCAAAGGCAAGGGTTGTGCCCAGGGGCCAGCAACCTTTAACACCGAAAGAGCCATTTGGACCCGGTTTTCACGCAAAAGAAAACACTGGGAGCCAAATACTTGTCAAATACTTTTTGACATCTAAAATGAAGATAACACTGTATATATTATTTTTTACCTTTATGCTTTGTGTGAACAACTAAGATGTGTTGCTTATGAAATCCTTGAAGTGCTAATGAGAAAATGACATTTTATTTATGTAATGAACACATTTTGAACTCTTAAAGAAATATAACAAAAGGAAAGACACCCAGCTGAACTAAAATGATCCATGTAGCAAACAAAAACTGTTGTGAGCCGCCACCCTTATATCGCCTTTAGGCTTTTGGAGCCTTGACCTGACTTTTAAAAAAGCATTGGAAAAAAAGAATTATTGCTGCTAAAAAATGAAAAATAGATATTTGCAAAATTCTGCCTAAATATGTATTTTACCTGGTTAATGTG